CCCACCCTCCACACCTTACATATACAGATATTGACATCTGTGGGTATTTTTAATCTTCCAAAGGGCAACTAGTGTTTGTCATTTGTTATATTAGAACAAATATTGTAGTTAATCACTATTAGTCATGTACCTATAAAATGTTTAGGGTAAATAAATATAAAGTAATTCAATATCTTTTATATTGTTGATTTCAGATAAAAACGATTTTTAACACAAACGTTTGATATACAAATTAGATGATCTATAAAATTGGTTATACTGCGCACGTGCAATGACATATAAGTTTAATAAAGCATCCTGTTTATTAAAATGTTGTATGCATTGGAAACAACATTTTTAATAATAATTATATTTATCACAAATGTAGGATAACAAATTTAACCTAGGACAACATATTAATGAACATATTTTAAAATGTCATTTTGTATATACATCTCTTCGTGCTATTTGTAAATATGTATTGGTAATCGCATGTTGAAAACATGCCTTCGTTTTTAAAAACATGTTTAGACTTTAAACTTATTGTTGATATCTATAAATTTTTTCAAATAGAACCAAAATACCACGAAAATCTATGCTTAATTATTATTATTTTGATTACATGAAACAAAAAAAATCCCATTTAAATCATGTTATTTTTGAACAGGATATTTATTTTTGAAAATTGTTATAGGGAAACGCAAAGCTAACTAAGACAACTCCAAATAAAAGGTGAAGCTTCCAGAAAGTTGTGAAAAAATAATGTATATAAATTATAATATGTGATGTAAAATTGTAGATTAGAATAAATTAATGAAAAATTAATATTATTTAATGTAAAATTTTTATGTATAATAAAAGAATGAGAATATAATATTTTTTAAACTATTTTATGTATTTACTTCAATGTTTGAAGCAGTAATTATATTTTATTGGCACTGCAAGCATTATTATTTTAATTTCAAATTTATCCGTATACAAAGGCTATGGTGATATTTTTAAGATACAATGGAACTGGTCGAATATTTAAAACGTTTTAACTTAAATTTGTTACTGAATCCATCGGCTTTATGTACAGATTAACTAATAAATGTCAAAGTGAGGATAGTCCAAACCTATGATACAAAAAATTATAGAGATACTTGTTAGGCCCGGTATTTTCATCTACAAATAAAGTAATTTATACTGAAGAATACATATATGAAAAATAACAGATACTATTGTATTTTCAGCTTCAAAATATTGCAGATGGTGGAATGGATTGGATTGCTTAATCCAGAGGAGTTTATAAAAATAATAAATATCTTGACAAGACTTTTACAAAATTATATATTTGACAAAAAATACATCAATCAGAAATAACAAAACAACATAATATACAGTGTAATATTTTTGTTCTGATTTAAATATCTGCAGCCATAGATAATATCTGCAACACTTCCCCTAAAGAAAAACAAAAATATAAAATAACTTTACAACAATGCAACATCTTCTTAAATCATGCCAATACTTCTAAGGCACTTCTCGTGTTTTATTAATGGTAAACCTTTTGTCATAACATCAGCGGCCATCTCTGTGGTTGGCATGTATTTAATAATAAATTCTTCATTAGAAATACAGGTACGTATAAAATGATAACGTACATCGATGTGTTTTGTGCGATTGTGATTAGTAGCATTAGCAGACATGCTAATAGCACTTTGGTTATCATTGTATACCGTTACAACTCCATCTTCTGCACAAAGTTCTTTCAATAAATTTTTTAAGAAAATACATTCCTTGGCTCCTTCTGAAAGAGCAACATATTCTGCTTCTGTGCTCGATAAAGATACACATCGCTGTTTTCTGCTACTCCATGAAATTGGTCCATTACCATAATTAAAAATAAATCCAGTGTAAGAATGTCTATCTAAGTCGCTTCCACCCCAATCTGCATCAACAAAACCAGTAAGTGTTTTTCTTGAAGGTTTGAATACCAAACTCTTATTTAGGGTTCCTTTCAAATAACGAAGTATTCTTTTTCCATGTTGCCACAATTCCATGGTATAATTGGTATTAAATTGGCTAAGTACACTAACGGCGAAAGAAATGTCTGGGCGTGTACATGTAGACAAATACATTAAAGCACCCATTAAGCTTTGGTAGGGTACATCAGGTAATTCACCATTTTTATTTCCACCTATGAGTTTCAGTTTCGTTTCTATAGGTGTACGAGCTACTTTCGCATCTTGCATACGAAATTTCTCAAGTAGATCCAATATATATTTTCTCTGGTTTAACCTAATCTCAACACAAAAAGCCGTATCTACCAGTCAATATCCTCTTGTCCCCAGGATAATTTATTCGGAGGTATTACTAGATGTAGTAGTGAATAGTTAATAATTAATAATTAAGTAGCTATAGAAATGATGTCATATACAGTATGTTAAATTTCATACAATGAAACTAGAAGAACGTTATAAAATAAGCGATTGATTAGACAGAAGTAGAACAGTGCACGCCAGTCAAGTGTATCCATCTGTCCAATCACCATTTATTTATTGAAGAACTGATTCTTGAAGTTTAAAATAATTTAGTGTTTGCGAGATTTTAATAAAAAAATGTAGCAAAATAATCAAAACCAACATTCAAACAATAATAATAAGCAGTCACTAAATATTAATAAAAAGCCTCTATAAACTAATTAAAAAATAAATATCCAATAAAAAGTAAGGCAATTTTGTGGTTTAGGAGGCGTTTAATGCCCATGTCCACTCTGCACCGACGTTTAGATTTAAATTTTACATCCACGTTGCCATATTTGTTGCAACATATAACATAAATAGTGTCTTAGATAATGAGTTCTAGTTAACATATCTGTTGGATAGTTATTTGGAGAAAAAGCTTATTTATCTCTAGGTAAAAGTACAGGACTTTAGCCGACGAAATATAATCTTTGTCATACAATCTCTCAAACGAGTGAAACAACACTACTCTGCAAGAATGAAAGATACTATAAATTTTACGTTTTGTACCTGCCTGACCCATTCGATCTGGATATCTATTCTTGAATCTAAGATAATAGATATTTTGAAGGAAGAATGAGACTGAAATACAAATTTTGTAATTTGCAGATAAAGGAAAAAAACTTGTTTTATATTTTGTCGAATTCAAGAATAGCTACACTGAAATGATGACGTACTAAATTTTTATAAATGTATCACATTTTAGTTTGTTTAATATCAATTTTTCAATTTTGTTTAATAAAATTAAGTTTAGCAGTAGAAATAATATTACAAATTAATACTAGTGACACGTAAAACATACTACTTAAATACTCAGCCATCCTCTATGGGAGCCCTTTAAATTGGAGTTTAGTGCTTTGTCTCTAGATTTTATTTTCACGCTCTGACTGACACCTCTGTTGTGCAGTATATGTATTCATTATTCAGGATATTTTTTTTATATTTTTAATATAATCTAATTTGTATAACAAAATGATTAGCTGCTTAGTATTGCATAGATGGTCGAAGAAAGTGTTTTTTATTTACAACTAAGAAACTATTGAAAGGAATAAGAACAATAAAGAAAAAAGTTGTGAAATTTATTCCTCAATTTATCCTGACTCCTCGGTTTTGTCTTTTCAAAACAATATTAGGTTTGTTCGGGTTTCTTTAAAACTCGATCCAAACCGTCCGAGAACCAGTGGAACAGTTCAATTCCAAATTATTCGTCTCATACTATTAAACTATTAAACTGTCCACTGGTCAACTAGTTCTCTGATAGTTCTCAATGTATTTTTGAAGAACCCGAACAGACCTATTCTTTTTTATGAGTTTACTATACTGCCACGCATTATAGTACGACTGTGAGCTATAGCACCTGGAAAGGGCTCATTAGCGAGAGCGAGAAAGCCCTTTGGCTGTAGTCAAAAAAATATGAGTTTAGTTTGTATGTACTTTTTTTTACAGTAGCAAAGACAACCCAGTTGTGACTAACTGTATTTTTTTTCCGCAAAAGTTGTTTGGGCGATTGTAATGCAAGCGCACTAGGTATTTTCTTCTTTTTTCAAAACTTTTTGCTGTCATGAATGGAGGGAAAATTTAAAATTGTATTCTATACCAATTTTACAGAAATTTTGTTTCACTATGTATTAAAAAATATGAAAGCTTTCAATAACATCAAATTTTCAAAGCAAAAACTGTTCATAATCTCTACATTTGCGAAAATTAAATAAAAAAAATTGCATATGATGCGGAGTTAAACAGTGCGACATTGCATATCTATTTAAAAAAAATTGTTTTGAGTAGGCCTTTTGAAAAAGATAGAGATCATGTAGTTCTAGAAGAAATGTAATAAAATTATAATTCTGATTAACCTTTTTGAAATGTCTTACAATATGAGGATACAAACAACTCAAGAAAATGCTAGTCAAGCATTAACTTTCCTGACATCTTGCTGTGATTTTTAATATTTAATGTCTAAAAATATTCCACCACAGAACATGCCCTCAGGATTTTCTACAACCTCTGGGTTCTGTTCTTCATCTTCCCCAGTAAATAATGAATCATCTAAATCATCGTCCGCCACAAAATCTTTTTCAGAAGAGCTGCTTGATTCGGTTACAATATATATTGCTTTGTTTGTCCTACGCTTAGCTTGATTCTGTAAAATAATAGTTGATGTGCTGGGAGTAGGTACCTATAACACTTTTTTTTCACTTTCGATATTTCCAAACAATTACAAACTAAATCTTCTATTAAAGTCCGATCCTGGACCTTGCTGCAGGGTGCCGCACGGTTGAATCTTTTGTAATTTCGATATTGAAAGTAAAACGTAACTATAAGAAAAGCCAAAAACCTAAGTTCTCCTTGAGCCACATTTCCAAAATTGGATTTAGTTTTTTAGTATTTAAGTTTCACCCCTTAGTGGTAACTTTTTAACAAAGTAATCTCTTTTAATTATAACGAAAATTTTCATCTAACGTAAAAACAATCAAGTGTTTATAAGTATGAAAATTAAAAATAATTTTTGTATTTTAGATGAAGTTCGCTGCTCTAGAACAATACGGTTTCCTTCATCCTGTTTGCCATTTCAAATGCCCAACGATATCCACACTACAGAGGTCGCTAGTGCAGAGCTATGGTTCCACAAAGAGGAAGACTATCTAGACGAACACAATCAGACTTTTGTAATATACGAAGTAGCGCACTGGGATACGAACAAAAGTTTTCAAAAAACCACGCCCATCGCTATCCAAGAGACAAGCCTAAGTGGTAAGTACAAAATATCGTTCATTTATCGTTGATCGTTTATCGTTTATCGTTTATCGTTTATCGTTTATCGTTTATCGTTTATCGTTTATCGTTTATCGTTTATCGTTTATCGTTTATCGTTTATCGTTTATCGTTTATCGTTTATCGTTTATCGTTTATCGTTTATCGTTTATCGTTTATCGTTTATCGTTTATCGTTTATCGTTTATCCTATATCGTTTATCGTTTATCGTTTATCGTTTATCGTTTACATATGGCTTCAGGCCGAATTGGAGGGGATCATTGCCATTAGCCATTTTTTTAAACATATTTTTTTAAATAAAAGGCTAATGGGTTGTAAGAATTTTGTATATCGGGGGGTGGGTATGGCCGCAGTTGATTTATAATTTGAAGGTTATAAACACGATAGTCACGGCTACACTTATACGTATTTTTTATATACAAAGCTTAGTCTAGATTGAAAATAAAATTGGCTACAGCCCATATTAGAACGTTACTTTTCCTCCATGTCCACTTAGACTGTGACGCATTCCTGGATTTTAAAATATAGTAAACAATTCTATATTTTTTATATATCTATATGCTTTCTATTGAAATGTGTTTTACAAAACAGTGTTAATTTTAACAACGTTTCTTTTGTTTTTAGAGGGTTGGTTAAAAATAGACGTAACCTATGTCGTTAAAAATTGGCTGGATTTTCAAGATTCACCCGTGCACGCTATCAACGTTGTATGCAAAACCTGTGGTATGGACAAGACACAATCTCCCGTATCGTTCATCAACGATTTGAAACCGTTTTTGGTGATCTACACTCATACGCAGCAAAGAAGAACTCTTTCTCACAGGAGGCAAAAGAGATCGGCCAATTGCGAACCGGGCCTCAACGAATGTTGCAGGGAGAATTTCTATATTTCCTTCGCCGAAATTGGTTGGGACGATTGGATCATTAAGCCAGAGGGGTACAATGCTTACTTTTGTAAGGGTTCCTGTACTACTCCGGCTGCTATCACGCTTAGTGCTAGTCAGCATAATAGTATACTTCAGGTAATTTTTAATATACTTTTTTTAATATTTAATCATCGAAAGTAAATAGGTTAAGAGTATCTTATCAAACCTATCACAACTCACTAGTCTCGGCCATTATACCTTGAGTCTTTAGACTTTAAAACTTTGTTTTCCAACCAGTTTATTTTGATCATTCCATAATACAAAATTTGTTTAAATCCGCATCTACTAGCTGCCCCTACTTTCGTTGTCTGTGACAGGGGCGGCTCGTCACCAAAATTTTGGGGGTTCACAGTAGCAGAATATAGATCCCAGATATTGGTAAAAAACTGTCAGTTTTTTAGAAAGGTATAATATAAACTTTCTAAAACACTGAAAGTTTTTTCATACATCTGTACTGATACGTATATTCTGTCACTGTGAACCACCCCACGAGCCGCCACTGGTCTGTGATACACAGTACTTATGTTTTTTGTGAATACAACTGAAGTCTATAGCTGATGATTTACTATATTTTTTGGTATTATAATTTGTTTTTACGCTTATTGCGCCAATCATAACCTACAAAATCAACTTAATTGTAAAACGAAAGATTAGAATGTAAATAGATTCTTTTTTTACATACAAAACACTATTGAACCATATTGGTAACAGCCTTATACTCAATCAGAAAACTTAAAAACATTTTTCTCTAATAAAATAGCTGCTACACACAACTCTTTTACAAATATCCTTGCTTAATTGCGCCGTTGTCAAACGTAATATTTGAAGGACTCATAAAATTGCGACATAACGTATCTTTCACTACTACTGTTAAGAACTTTGTAAATTTGGTATCAATATTTACTTGAATATTGAATTTCTACCAAGAACGCTTAGAATGTGAACTTACTTTGGCTTCAGAAATTTTGTAAATAATTCTGTCTTGGTTATACAGTAGTGTTTCATTTTTCAACATTATCATTGGAAAAAAACGTCGTAGAAAATTCCACTCTACTTTTTAAAAAGCTTAAAATAGGCCATATTAAAGTTGGTTAGTTGCTGCATTAGTTATCGGTCAAATTCAGTATTTTTTTTAAAAATAGTTCAATTTTTTTTAATGCCAATTTGACAGAAATCTAAAGTCAGTAGCCAACTTTGATATGGACTATTTTAAGTTTTTAAATAAGTAGAGGCGATTTACCTACGAAGTTTTTTTCAAATCGTAATATTAAAAAAAATCCCATATGGATCCAACTTTATGGAACACAGTGTACATCTGTAGAGTCCAACAAAGCCTTCTTTGTGGTGTAACAAATATGGTTTTATGTTAAACTCATTAAAATTGCTATTACGAATTGTTTATTTTTACTTTCATTTCACACATTTTAGAATTTTCACATGTAAACTATTTAGAGGTTAAATTGTTTACGAAATTTTTTCTTTTCTTTTACCGATGAAAAATTTAATTTTTTGTTTTTAATTTAACCTTGAGTGGTATTTGGTGAAAAAATGTTATACAAAGTTGCTTTTAGTTATTTATTTCTGATGTGTATGAGTATTTGTATTTCTAATGATATATATATATTTAATTCAAACGTCGTGTCGTTCCTCTATGAGCTGTCATACCTATTTTCCTATAGCTAACAGCATATCTACATACTTTGAGCGTAGGATCTTATGGTGTTGCATTTATTTCCAACAAAAATAAATAAAAGAAGTGTGTAATCATAAAAAAGTGACAGAAATAAAATCATTGACCTTTTTTAATTAATTATAACACTTTAAAAGTTGTTTAATATGTTCATTATTATATTGTCACAGTTTTAACATATTTTGCATAAAATACAGCATTTATATCTGACAGGTTTCCATTAAAAATAAAATAGTAATTTTGTGATTTTTTTAAATGAGATTGAAAGGTTATGAACCACGTTGATACAGAGGAATAACTTAATAAAATTGTTATCTGTTCGACATTTAGACTTTGACTTGCACTTCCCAGAGACTATTTGTATGTATACAATGTTTTCAGAGTTTGTATTACTAATCGATGTGCTAGTCCATTTTGTTTATGTGTCCCCCAAAAATTTAGGATAAACACACATTGAAAATATTACACGAATAAATATTTAACGAATAACACAATTTATTATCGACGAATATTTCTAAAATTGAATACGGTAATGTTTTCCGAAATATTGATAAGAATAATAAATATTTTTAAAAGAAACATATTTATATTCACCAAAGTTATAAAAAAATATGTTTGTAGTTTTTAAAAATGGCTAGAAAACACTCAGTCCATAGTTCAAATTATGTAATATAGTGGAGGTCAGAGGCGGCTCGTGGCTTAGTTTACGAGGAGGTTACGGAGGCTACTTAATAGAAATATATATTTCTATTAGAATACAAGAAGCAGAAATATTACATTGTATTCTACTAGAAACATATATTTGTATTAAGTATATAGGGTGTGCCAGCCTCTTCGTAGACTAGGCCACGAGCCTCCTCTGGTGGAGGGGTTTTTTTGGGTGTCACACTTTACAATACGTAACAGCTTTTTCCCCTCTAGCTAGAGGATGCTAAAATCAAAAGTAATGCAATAAACAGTAATTTTGTTGAATTCCCATTGAAATACAAATCTTTTTGTTTCAAGGCATTTTTGATGTTCATTTTTATTAGGAGATATTGCCAATGGGAAGTTTATAAATTGACACCTTGTATATATAGACCATCTTTATTAATTTAATATTTTTTTTTTTACAGAAAATAATGAATGGTCACAAGAGGAACAAGGTTGTGGGACCAGAAATCACGCCTTGCTGTACGGCTACCCAATTTCAAAATTTACAGTTATTTTACATGCAAAGTAATAAGACTCTGACAACGAAACTATTATCGAATATGATAGTAGACACTTGTGGATGTATGTAGCGGAATCCAATTAGAAAATTTTAGTTTCCTGTTTGACAGTATTGTGACTCTAGTGATATCTGAAGATCCCAGTGAAACCAAGCATTTAAATATTAATCTCAAATAGAAAATATTGTATAAAGTATCATAATTATTAGATAATAACAGCCTTCTACTTGTACAAGCTCATAAAACGATACTTCTAAGTTGAGGACAGTGGCGTAACCAACAATTTTTGCACCCTTTCGCAAAGTATTAGCTAGTAATTTCATAAACTACCTATATATTTTTTCAAATCAAGCAGGGGATGTAGTTACGACACTGATTGAGGAGATACGTCGGCTGGAACTTTGTTTACTATTTATTTATAATATACCGAGATAGTATGTATTTAAAAATTGAGTCAATGTTTGAATAGAAACGGTATTTAATATTTAAATACCATTGATGTGTTTGTGATAGAAACCTTTTAAAAGAAACAAGATTAAGCAATACTATCTTGGTTTTATACTAAGGTTCAATGGTTAAGCAAATGTACCATTGTCCCTAATTTATATTTGGGTGTTTAAAGTAAAACTTTTTACTCAGGGAATTTCAGGTATATGAAGTTGACACTTTGTGTCTTGTGACAACTTTCTTTTTTGAAAGCTTTAAACTTTTTAATCTAATGTGCGTGAACGATGGACTGAGAGAAAAATTTTAAACTGTTGAAATAGTTTTTATACAATGTAAACCACCAAAATGTAAAAACAACGTATAGCGCAAAAATATGCCTTTTTATTTATAGTTTAGGAAGAATTGGCACATGAGTATCGAAAACTAATCCATGTCAGAATCTTTTAAAATATTTTAATATTCCTCACTATGCAATATAAAGAATATAAAAAATTTTTTCAGGTATTTCTATAGATTTATAAGCCGTTAAAATCCGTTAACATTAAAAATTCATATTTTCTAAAATATTAACTTTATCAAAAAACTTTTTGTACTCGTATTAATGTAAAGAATTTGTTAAAAATAACATTTGTTTAGGAATTGTTCAAATAATTTAATTTTAAACAAAATGGGACCACATTATCCCATGTAAAACTGCATTTACATAACATATTTGACAAAAAAATGGCGCCGGAACAGTTTTCGACGCTTATGCGCACTATTACATTTTCGTGGTACTGTAAAACATGTGTTCTTTCAAAGTGAGTGTGATATTAGAATAATAGTAGTTTGTTTGATGTTTAATTTATTTTTATTTGTATTGAGTAGCTATAATGTATTATTTATTTAATATTTTATTAAAAGACCGGCGTATTTTTATGTATTATGTAAAAAGATTCAAATAGTCGTTTTTATATTTTGTGGAAAATAAAAAAAATTCAGTATAAAAAATATTTAAATAATGAATAAAATGATTAAAAGAAAAATTTGGATTTTATTTACTAGCCCAATAAACAATAAAATTGTGGCAACTTGTTGGCCCTTAATGTGATGGCAAAATAACTTGTAACGGCAAAATCGTTATGGTCCTTTTGAAATTTGTATTTAACTACCCCTTAACTTGAATTTTTCAATTGGCCGTTGATGTCTTTTTAACTGTTTTCAATAGGCAACTGTAAAATCGTTATGGCTCGTATGAAATGTGTAATTAACTGCTTTTTAATTTTAATTATTCGATGGGCCGTTGATGGATTTTTAACAGTTTCCCACATACAACTGTAAACTCGTTATGGCCCGTTTGAAATTTATAATTAACTGCCTTTCAATTTTAATTATTCGATGGGCCATTGACGACTTTTTAATTGTTTCCCACATGCAGCTGTAAAATTGTTATAGCCCGTTTGAAATCTGTAATTAAATGCCTTTTAACTTAAATAATTCGATGGCCCATTGATGGCTTTTAAGCTGATCCCCATATTCAACTGGAAAATCATAATGGCCCGTTTGACATTTGTAATTAACTGCCTTTTAACTTTAATTATTCAATGGGCCGTTAATAGATTTTTAATTGTTTCCCACGAGTAACGGTAAAATTGTTATGATCCATTTGACATTTTTAATTAAATGGCTTTTAACATTAATTACTCGACGGGCCATTGATGGCATTTTATGTTTCTCACAAACAAAAAAATAAGAGAAGAATATTAACATAACCTATGATATTGTGAGAAGAAAGTGAAGATTTTATCGTGAAATTTAAAAACTTACAATGGCTATATGTCATGGACTAAAGATACAGAATGTACCCTGGGGTGACACATCATTGAATTTTTTTTCAGAATGAATCACCCTATTAATAGGTACGAATACCTAAAATTTCGATTTTTAGCCCCTTCTTGAGGGGAAATGTCTCATATAAAATTTAATTTTATTAGTAATTCAAATACACTACATAAAATTAACTTAAATAAGTAAAAAATAAAACTAAACAATAATTAAATAATACCTATAGAGTAGGTACCTATTAGTATTACGTAGTTTTGTTACAAGTGTAATTTGAACACATTTAGGTTAATGTCATGTGAAGCATTGAATTACTTTGATTACCTAATACTTTTTTCCTTGAAGAGAGCGATAAAATTGAGGATTGGGGTATTAATAATGTTTAATTCCCAAAAAATTACCCTATTTTACATGTCACACGTGGTACATTTAAAATCCTGGCATCATTTTTATAAGAGCCTTATGGAAGCCCTTTGATGGGAAGTTAATATTAAGATGGGAAACTGCTGGCCATGTGCAGGCCTTTCACTACTTATGACTGGTAAAGTAACGAACCTTATGCAAATCCACTGAAAGATAGTTTATATTATGGGAAACTGCTGGCCAGGTGCAGCCTTTCATGGTAAAGTTGTGAGCCTTATGCAAGCCCATTGGAGGGAAGTTAACATTAATATTATGGGAAACTGCTGGCCATTTGCAGACCTTTAACTACTTATTACTGGTAAAGTAACGACAAGCTTCTGCCTTTCGTTGTGACAAAAAGTCTACTTACCACTGCCATATCCCCACTGAAAGGCCATTATTTGTAGTAACGTGCATATGTTTAAAGACCGTTAACTTGCCATCACAAAATGTTTGTTAGGATCAATTACATAATGGTATATGTATTACTCATCGTTGAATTTTAAAAAGTGTTGTTTTAGGAAGTGACTTTTTGTATACAAAACAAATGGTCACCCCACGACCAGACAGTGTCAGATTCCTACCAACTAAAAAAACTAACTATCCAGTTAACAGGTGATCTTCTTCGGGATTACCTCTGATATTACTTCAAAGGGAATTTTCCGATTATTAATTAGGAATCAAATATCGCTCCCAGACAAAGAAACATATTTTTTTTCTAGCATAAGTTGGGTACAAATAGCACTTTAACCTGTCCTAAAAAGAACGACTTGCAAGATCACATAGGGTGTTTTTCAACCTCAAGGAGAAAATAGTCGCAATCAAATATCTCGGTTTCTAGACATAAAAATACATTTATTTTACTGAGGCCCTTCCTATGGGGCCTCAGTATTGCATTCGTGCAGACGAAAAAATTTTCTTACCTCATTTTTTAAAACTTTTTTTCATGTTTCCGATCATTCTGGGTACGAAAATGCAAAAAAAATTCGTCCGGTCGTCTGTGTGTGTATGTATGTCGGCACAATAACTCTAGAACGAAAGTTCTGATTGACTTACGGTTTTGATTTTCTTGAATAATTACTTCTAACTTAGAACCCTATTGATTTTAGGAATTTTCGGTTCATCCTAACTACTTTAATATTTTTAAATTTAATGTTCACTAGACATGTTAATTTGAGTACTTTTTTATTCAAAGCCATATATGTATAAGTTTCCTATTAAAAATATTGTTGTTCATGGGTTTAAAATTTGAGGTATTGAAATATTTTGGTTCTCCTTGTTGTGGTTTGCCATTGAAAATATCGTCCCGAAATATTAACAAATGAAAAACAAATTTAAAAAACCTGGATTGTGACCATTAAGTCCCCTTTAGAAAATGGTACAAGTCAATTTACAGACCTTTAGAAGATGGTACAAGTCAATTTGAGCCAGGTGTACAAGAAAAGCAAAATTTGACAGATGAACTATATTCTTTAATTGTGATTCTACACCTAATCAAACTGATATCCCAAGAACGAGTGCAACGCAATCAACAAATGTTACAAAGTTAAAGCCAACTCCAGAATAAGCATCCAATAGAAAACCCAATGCAAGCAAGAAAGAGAGAAAGAAAGTCAAGAATTTATACTGTGGTGAAAAAGATATAGAAAATAGAAAAGGAATTTAGAGGAAAGAAACAAAAGAAAAATGGTAAAACAGCTATATGTATAACAAAAGAAAAACATCTATGATGAAGATATTTTCAGTGAATCGGATATAGAATTAGATTTCACTTCTCATAGTAGATTTAAAGAAATAGATCAAGATATTGAAGACATTGAATTTAATATTGGGGACTTTGTGTTGGTCATGATGATGACATTTCAGAGATTGTCATTAATGATATCGTGGCCAATCCTCGTCTGCAACTGGTACAGCAAGAACGTCATAAAGTTTTTCATTTAATTATAAGTTTGATAATATTTCTGTAAAATAAATTTAATATTTTTTTCTGTAAAATTAGTTTAATAGTAACTTTTTATCTATTTTATGTTTTATTTGACTAAACTACTCCACCCCTATGTAGGGAATAGTACAGTTATCATAATAATCACTCCTACTACATACTATATAGATATTTTTAAAATACTTTTGTGTATTATGGATAGGTACATCTTAAAAAAGGATATAATAGAATGCTAAAATCAAATTAAAAATTAAATTAAAATTTTTGTTGTTATATCAGTTTAAAAGGGGTGTCCGAATGTACCCCACTCTCCCCTGTATTAGAATTTATTGTATAAATGAAACAAATCATGTTTACTTTGAAATTTATTTTTATTCAGTTATTATTGAAAAAAATAATCTTAGGCTGAGCAGATAATGGGCACTTCCATTTGGACTTTCCTGTTTTCAGATTTGTGACTGAAATCGGGGTTAGCTCCTCTTAAGATTTGTTGTTTCCACAAATCAGCTACATTGCTGTTAGGAATGCAATGAGCAGAAACGGTCTTGGTGATGTAACCTTGAGCTTGGCACATACGTTTGCAGCTTGGTACTGGATAAATGGTGAAACAGATTTCATTGTGTTGTTCTGCGTATTGTGTACGGAAACCAGTGCAATCGTCTTGTTGATCTTCAGATTGTCCCAAAGTTTTGACGTTTCTCTCCTTAATGAGGTTTATGTAGATTGGAGTTGTTCTTTTTAAACATTTTTTGGAGTCTCCTTCCAATTCTTGTCTGACTTGTTTACCCTGTGGTCCTTCAACTTCGTAACTTCTGATTAGTTTTTCTGGGTTGCGGACGAAGCAGTTTTGGGAGGTAAGATGATCTTCAGTTTGTTGGTCGTTGTATTGACCACATATTCCTCTGGTGCTGTCTCTAAAGAAACCATTGTTGCTTGCAATTTTGGCACGTTGACCATCGTAAACGACAATGAATTTTCCTCCAACTGTTACCTTTACTTCACCGTTGGGATTAGCATAAATTTGAATGTACCCTTTTTCAACGTCATAGCTTTCAGTATCGCTAACTTCAATGCGATTTTCGTTAACTTTAATGACAGCTTTGGCAGAGTCTTCTTGACTAGAAAGCAAAGTGATGTCTATTACCTTGAATTTGGTTTCAGGGGCACTGACAACGATCTTAAAATCTTTTCCATTCTTGTTTTCTTGATTTTCACGAACCAAAATAACGTAGTTCGTAAGTTGTTTACTCAATTGTTGTTCAACAGATAATTTAGTAGTTTTTGGTACAAATTGGGTAGCAACAGTCCAGTGTTTGGAAATGCCAGCAGAGTAAGTCCAGTTGCTAAAAGTAGTTACTTGGGATCTGTCGACGACACAGAGATCTAAAACAAGCGGATTAATTTATTAAAAATATTGTTCAATATGGATATTTTAGGAATCTAATGATTTTTTATGATTGATTGTAAACGTTAAGAACATTCATTAATTTTATTTAGTTGTATAGTCTAAGGACTTAATTGTGAAAAGTTTAGGATTCATCACGTGATTGTAATAATGAAGAAATGTTAGTAAATAAATACCTAATAATGTGTCGATTTCTAAGGCTTTGCTGAGAGCACGGGTAGATGCACGTACAGATGGGTGGACTACGAAAAACCTTTTGGCATATTCATTAAGTTCAATATCTCTGAAAGTAACTTGTTGTTGGTGAGTGTTGACAGTAACATTGACGTATTTCAAATCCCTGTCAAATTGAGCTTGGAATTTCATTTGGTTTTTAGGTACTGAAGATCTTTCTTTAAGTCCAAGATTGGGGTAGTTTTGATATTGTAAATGATCGTACACAATTTCCATGAAGTTTTGTACAGAAGGATCAATGTTTTCAGATTTTACATCCATGTCAACTCTATCAAGATAGTTAGCTTCGATTGTCATATTTACACAAGCAGGTGATTGTTTGTTACCTACACGTCCATCATGTACACATTGATGGTACATAGGTTGTTTTGTCAAATATTCTTTACGGTCTTCGCTTCTGACCATTTTGATGTCTGCTTTAATTTTGCTTTCTCCATTTCTGGAATCGAATCTAACTTCAATTTCTGAATGAACCTTAGGTTCAGATCTGAGAATATCTTGCAAGTTCAAAGAGTTAGTGTTAGGTGAGTTATTGATCATTTCGAATTTAACTTCGGTAGGTTTGTCATTTTGACCATCTTTCTTGAAGAAAGCGTATGCACGAGACTTAGCGTCAACATGGCTTACTGAATAGGCTCCAGATAAAATGTATTGAATGTCCTTTTGTCCTTGGAATTCAACTGAAGCATCCATGGCGTGAGTTTGAACATTTTTTATTCCGGATGATGCTCCTTTCATTAAGGTTTGTTGTCTAGATGCAGATTTATCAGCCTTGCTTACTTCTTGCCAATTAATAGTTTCTTCATTACCTTGTTTTTTGTATTCTTGTTGGTAACCCAATCGTAAAACAACCTTGTTAGTTGAAGATTCTTCAGGCATGTAAGTTACGTTTAAGTGGCTGTATTGAATTTGTCTATCATTCCAGATTTTGTTAAGACCGCTTGAAATACCTTCTTTGCAGAAGAAACGTACATTAGAGATATCCATTGTGTTTCTATCGTGTTCCATTTCAATTTGGAATGCTAATCCTGTTTCTTTTTTACCAAAAATCGTTTCAACCCTACGAAGAGCTTGAGGTTTGATGATTTGCTTGTGTTTTTGTGCAGTTATGGTCTTTAAATCCATTATGTTCTTTCTAGCAGTGAATGGCCAAGTGCTGTAGTGGAATAAGTGGGCACCAGTGTGAAATTCCTTAGGTTGAATTTCAATTTTTACTTCGTTGTTCTTAACATTGAATTCCATGTTAGTATTAACAGGTACATGAGCTTGCCATACTTTATCGAAACCGGAAAGGTATTGTTGATTATCGAAGGGAGTGATAAACGAAATGTGTCCAGATACTTTAGCTCCAAAAGTAAGGGCGAGCTTAACTTCAGCTTGAAGACGTTCTGGTGTTTGGATCCTACCATTTTGAGATAATTGTGGATTAGAAGCAGCTCTTACTTTTCCGTGGAGTTTCATGAACATTGGGGCGACATAGGTGAAGACGAATGGCAAACCAAGTTCATTGGGCATAGCTAAAGACACATGGTCGTTGTTAAGGAATTTGACAACATCTAAGTCTTGTTCATTTCTTAATTTGTCTTCCAATTTTTTGATGACTGCAAAATAAAGTTCTATTAGTATTACAGTAAAGTTACTTAGAAGCACCAAGGTTTTATACGTAATAACAAAATTTATACTAATAATTTAAATTAAAAAAAGAAACATGTTTAAAATTTCATTCTACTTACGCTCAGGTAGTCGCTCAAAAGTTCTGTTGTTGAATGACAGCATTTTGTAAGGGCTGTTCAAAGCCATCATTATGTTTCCTTCTAACTGTTCTCTAACATCAGATTTCATGTTAAGCATCTTAGCAATATTTTGACTGGACCATGGATATTTTTGACTTTCACCTGAGTTTTGTTTTTGCTCTTTCTCCTCTTGATAGCTTTCGGTTTGTTTTTGAACGACATCAATAAGTTGTCCTACGCTAGTAATTAATCCTTCTAGATCTACGATTTGCTTTTCAAATCCACCTCTTTGGGATTTTGCTGCGTACCTAAAACCATTGGGAACGTAGTACCAGTCGCTGCTCCAGAGTTGTACGGTTTGTTTGTAATATTGATCAAATTCTTCAACGAAGTAATTTTTGAGGAAGTTACCTCCTTGTTGGATTCCATATTCCTTTTCTGTCAGAAGGGGTTCTGCCATATCAGCGGCTTTACGGCTACAAAATATACAAAAGCATTTTCTTAAAATTCAATAAATACTGCAAAATAATAAGGTGGACTGTTTTGAGCAGCCCACTATGTAATTAGTATTTAGTATTATTTTTTGTAAATTAGTAATCTCATGTTTGGGTCATACAATTTTACTTTTAACGACTTTTAATGTAGGTACGTATGAGATAAAATATATAAATACTGACAATGAGTAGTAAACAAATAAAAAACTTAAAAAATATAAATCAGCGATACCATCATCGTCTTCCTCTGACGAATCTGATGTACCATATGAACCCGATGAAGGAGGCGATAGCCCCGAGAGTTTCGATGACTTGCTAACATTCTCGAAATCCTTTGATCAATCACCAAATAGCAGTAGCAGTGATGATGATATGCCATTGATACACTGTAAATTATGTAAATTCTTCGATGGAACGGAGCACTGCTTGCTGAAACACCTTCATGTAATGGGATTACACAATGATCCCACTACGTATAGACTTTTCATGGAAGAGGAAGAAACCTCATACCATGTGACCTTCGAATGCGAAGCTCTTACTGAGCGACGTTTCATCCTTTTCGGACTAGAACTGGAAAGAACGCCCCAGGAACACTTGGTAGGGAACCTATTAAAACTAACCAAAGACACAGGACTATTCCAAAGATAGTACCTGAATACGGGGGAAAGCAGGGGAATACAATAGACCCAAGAGGTCGCAGGGTTCTGGGTCAAACCTAACCCTACCTGCTTACAACTGATAAAGATAAAGGCCATGCTACTTCATTTCAATTTCAAAAACCAATTCAGAGTGCTCCTACACGGTATATTTTAAAGAAAAATCCTCTAAGACAGAACGATTCCTAACACCAGATGTAAAAGATATAGACGATGTTCTTGAAGAACATATAAAAAAAATACTCCAATAGTCCAAAAATAAATGGCACAGGAAGAAGAGTATTTTTTAAATGAAATCAGAATTTATCATCTTATAATTGCCAATAATATCCTATATTTATTACGCAGGTACTTCCTGGTTAAGTGCCAAATTATGCTAAAAGGCTGAAGAAACCAAATTTAATTTAAGTTTACGTTGTTTTTTAGAATTTGCACTTATTTTTCTTAAATGTTCTCGATTTTTTTTTGTAATAAAATCAATAAAACTAATATTTTGTGTTTTTTTATTAGTTTTTTCATCCCTAAATGATAATTCTCAGGTAGATATATTTTTTTATATCTAAAAAAGCTCCTTGAGCTGTCAAACTTCATATTCTGTGTTATTTTTGCCAATTACAAAATATCCCCGCTCTATGGGGTTATTTTGGATAGACCTTCAAAAATTTTTCTTCTCATAAAAGGGTCTCGTATTTTTTATCATGGTAATATTACCTTGTATGTATACCTATCAAAACTCGATATGAAACTTATTTATTCTTGGACGCTTTTTATGGTACATCCAAAAAGGTCCAAAATAACCCCGTTTTACGGAACGAAGAAACAAAAATGAAATTGTACTTACAGTTCGCTTAAATGGTTACCGAATCTGGCGATTGTTTGGATTGAAGATTTAACGGCAGCATTAACTTGTTCATCAGTATCAATTCTTGTGTAAGCGGCCATCTCTTGGAGCATCTCAACCCTGGGGTTCGTACGGAAAAGCTGGAATACTGCAGCAACTCTTACTTCAGATGTTTCACCGCTGTTTTGATAAGTTTTAAACAGTACTTCACGAGCTTCTTCGGGAGATGTCTCGACAATTTTTTTCATGGAAATAATCATAAGAGTACGTTGGAATTGGGAGCAATGTTTTGTACCTTCTAAGTAAGGTTCGTAAGCCTTAAGGATTTCAAGTGATCCAATGCTTCCCAAAGCACGGATGTAAGTATGTATTTTGTTGGTTTCGGCTTGGATTATTGCTTTGTCAAGACGTTTAGCGAAATGAGGAATTACGGTATCTTTGATGAATCTAAGACCTTCCTTGTCTTTTAAGTTTTCGAAAGCGTTTACTGGGAATTGATTTCTGAAATAGTTTTTAGCGAAGTATACTTTATGGACTAAATTTGAATAACTCAAAATGGCAGTTTCATTCAAGGGCCAGCTAGAAGCGACAATTGGTTTCTTGATTAATTCAAAGAAAGTTTTCATGTAAGGAGTAGTAGGGTATTGAGCGCGGTTGGCCATGGTGAAAATACTGTAAGCAGCTTCTTGGTCTTGGATGTTCTTCATTTCAACCCAGCTTTGGATTAAAAGTAAAGCTGGTCCGTGTCCAGATTCAGCGACAGCATCACGGAAAACAGCCCAAGCTGCATATTCTTCACCATTTTCATTGGTGGTGTACAATTTCTTTGAGGCTTGTCTTAATTCGGATTCATCCATATTACTTACAAGAGAAGTCAAAGTAATGAATTTGTCGAACACTTGTTCATGAAGTGCGATGCTGGGATCTTGTACGTCCTGTCCAATTTCTTTAGCGATTTTAGTAACACTCATAACAATGTCAATTCCAGATTTAATAGAAAGACCTTTGTTTCCTATGCTGTAAGCAAAGAAAGGAGTTTGAGGAGCTTCATTGATTTGTGGTTGGTCTTGTTTGTATTCAGACGCTTCGTTTTCAGAATAGAGGTTTGGGCTCAATCTGTGCAATGCTGGTCTGTTGTATGGAATTTGATTCCTATTGGAGTTTCTTTCCAGTGCTTCATTGGTTTTGGCAAAAGGTTTGGGGTAAACATAGACAAGACCTCCTAGACGAATTGGCGAAGCCAAATCTTCGAGAAGTTGTTCCTGTGGTTTTACTTGTTGCAGAGTGGTGTTCCATAAAGTGTAAACAGCTCCACGTTGTTTGTCAAGTAATGTTGGGCTTACAACGATTTCGTTAATTGTAAGACAGTGTTGGATAGTAAATTGTTTCAAATTTCCTGTAACGAGTGCACGAGTCATAGTATTTCTTAAAAAGAATTTACCCATTGAGTTAGTAGCAGGTTGTTCATCCTTCAAATCTCCGAATCCGTAAAAGTAGGAAGGAAGTTCGATGTTTTCAGTAAAATTTTTGTTTTTGAGTATTTCAAGGATTTGATCGTCATCATCTTCTAATTTTTGCAATTGGGGTACTTCAGAATCGAAGAGTTTGTACTCAGGAATTGGATTAATTTCGTAAACAGTTTCGGTGTTACCACTGACGGTTTCTTCGTAGACCTTGTAGAAGGCTGAATCCTCGCGATTATCATTTTGCGTCATAGGAGAATCAGCTTTGTTGAGACTTATTTGGAACTGACTCATCATACCTCTGATCATATTGGATTCCCAATGAGGAACACCCTTGTTGACGATCACATCTGTGATGACTCCATGGGTAATTTCAATTTGGAATGGTTTTCTGGTCATTTCCAGAGGTTTCCAGCTAACTTCATGGTCGGGGATATAGGTCATCCAGCCATTAGAAAGCTCAGAATGGATCTGAGCGTACTTTGAATTAACGATCAGACATTGTAGTTTGCCATCGGGTCTGGTTTGGACCCTGAGGGAAGCCTTTAATAAAATTCCAGAGAATTCATTGGCAATGTCAAGACCAGCTAGGGCACGTCCTTGAAATTTATAGACATATTCCTTGTTTTCTTTCCAAGCAGGTGTGTTAGAACCAAGGGCAAAGCCAACTGAAAAAAATTAGTTAAGAAATATTAACAGCCGGTTGAAAGAATTCTCATTGAGCTGAAAACCTTTAAAGGAGCTTGAGAACGTGGTCTGTATGAGTGAAATGAATCTAAAATTACTCAGAATCTGAAAATCTGGCAAATTTTATCAGACGCATAAATTTGGGTCGATTTAAATATAATTAAAATGTAGATAGAACTATCTGATTGATATCCGATTAAAAAAGTTTAAATTAAGCACAGCTTTTAGTAATAACTTAAAAAGTTGTAAAATCGTTAAAAGTTTATATTTTTCCATTAAATTTTCTTTATAAATGATTTTCGAAACAATTTCCTGTTGAATTTTCTAAATAATTTAAAAAGTTTAAGAAGTTGGTATTGAGGTAGGTTACATGTTTTCATTAAAAGTTAAAATGTAGAAATATTTTACGGAATTGCATTTAAGTTATTCACTGTGGAATGTGAATAACAATATTAAACCATACAAATACAAAGCACAACACAGTATTTATACCAGAGTTAACTTCGTTAAACCACATAAAACACTTAAAGGTATTAGGTCTAATCAAAAGACAATGGGATATAGAACCCATATTTATACCTCTATGTTTTACGCCGAAAGATGGTGGACGGGAAATATTAACAATGCGAGCTTACATTTTAAGGGTATGAAACCCTATGATGTCAAAAAAGAATTAACAAGACAAATACTCTGTGCATCCGCTATCGAGCAATTGCTTGAGGGGAGAAGGGAGAACTGGTGGGAGTTGCTCCAGATCAAAAAGCACCGTTAAACAAAAACGTTCAGTTAGAGTCAGAAATAGATCTAGTATTGCTCTCGATTAACTCAGATGACATAAAAGAAAGCACTCTAAAGGGGTTATGATGAACAAGTAATGTTATTTTTAACAGACACGTTATTTGTGAACAGGTTGTTATTTCTGTGTGTTTATAAAATAACAGACCTGTTAAAAATAACAGAGGTTGTCAATCATAACCCCCTATATGTGTACCTGTCTATTTTGTGAGAAGACTTTCCAATCAGCAAATCATGATTTACCCTGACATGCAGGGCCGACTAGAGGGGGGGGGTAGCCGGGACTAATTCCCGGGGCCCGGGCTTAAATGGGGGCTCGGTAGCGCTGTAAGGGGGGCCCGCCAACAGCATTTTTTGTTCTGCATGAGAAATTCGACACAAGATGAGAGTGGGAAGTTAAGTTTCGGCTGACTTTTTTTTTTTAGAAGGAGAAGCAAGTCGAATAGCTTTTTGATGTGCGGACCTTTTTTTTACTTCTACAGCGGCTGGATTTTAGTAAGGATCAGGAATAAGATGCAGTAATACAATGAAACAGCAGTAACAAAATCAAAGAATAACACGGTAGACAATGAAAATGGTATTGAGAAAAGGGTAAGAAATGACAATGAATGCCTTAACGAATAGGAAATCAGTATGTAGAAGACGAAGGGGTAGACATAGATTTAAATTAGATGCGGTGCACTAAGAAAAATATAGAAAATTGCAAAGAAAACTAATTAAAAAAGTGTAATAAGATGTTTGATGGGAACTGAATGTTGATATTTAATGCATTTAGTTTTAGCAATCCCTGTATGCATATTTAATATGCTAAATGTAGGTAATAGTGTTGTCGGTGTTGACGAAATTATTATGTGTCAGAAATATTCTTGCCCAAATTATCTAACTTGAATACTGATTCCCCAAAAGAAGGGATTTAGAAAGTTCCAAGAAAGATATTGAGATATTTACCCAATATTTATTTCTCTATAATTTTCAACTACAGAGGGAAAATTATAAAAATAAGAAATAGGTAAATTTTTTGGAAATTATTAAGTTTTTATGGTTGAAGTAAATAAAAAATCAAACTTACCAATCAAGCAAAAAACTAGTGGTGACCACATCATGACTAAATTGGTGTTCAGTCTGAAGTGTGAGCATCAATTCATTTCGAAAGTATTTATAGAGATGCGATAGTTGCATTTTTTAAATTATTGCAAGAATTGTGAATGAAATAGATAAAAATGATTTTTATTGATTTTTGATTTCTGTGTAGTTTGTAAAATTTTTCTGCTGTGTTAATTATTTTAAACTCATGTGCAGGATACAGGTTCGGATTTAAAATAAGGACACTATAAAATAATTATTGCTGATAGAATTTTTAGATTTTTTTGTGCATTGTAGGAGCACCATGTTGTTGGAATGTAATTTCGAAGTCATCAAATTTATCTGGATTATGTTACATTAGAAATTAATAAATAAACTCAACTATGTGGTGTCCCAAAATACCTGACCAGACATTTACTTTTGTTGGAAACTGTGTATGTTTTTCACGAAACATCTGAGGATTTGTGTCACTCCAATACCCCACATTTTCAATGTTAACATTTCTGTAATAATACCTAACCTACATGTAACGCCTGATATTTTATTTCAAACTGTCTCTTTATTTAAATATATAAAAATAATTTTTAAATTTGTAAACGACAAAAATTCCCAAGAATGTTGACTATTCGGAATAGGGGGTAAAGGGGGGTTAAAATATTTAAAAAATTCTAACTCAAACACGAAAAATGAATAAATGAATAAATTGGGGGGTTAAGGAGGAGTTAAGTTATAAGAAAAAAATTCTGACTCAAAATCGAAAAATTATATCAAATTTAATATTTTTAGTAAAACACAAGCTTTATAAGGGGAAGAATCCATTTGATTTTGAAAAAAATCTGATTCAAAATGAGGAGTTTAAGAACGGGTTGAAATTAAAAAAAAAATCATAAATCATAAAAACAAAAAGCGATATCAACATGAAAATTTCAGAAAAATCAAGCTCTGTAAAGAGGCAAAGCTTATTGATTTTGAAAAAATCTAAATAAAAATAGGGGGGTTAAGGTGGGGTTAAAATATTTAAAAAATTGTAACTCAAACACGAAAAATGATATAAAATTGAAATTTTTAGTAAAAAAAACAAGCTCTATGAGGAGAAGAATCCATTTGATTTTGAAAAAAATCTGATTCATAATTAGAACGGGTTGAAATTAAAAAAAAATCATAAATCGAAAATTAAATTTAAAGGAATTGCTTAAAAATTTGGATAGCTTATGACACATTGTTTAAAAGGTAATTTATAGGGTATAATATAATTTAAAAATTCTAGATGCCCGCCATAAGAAATAACAAAGTTACGTAGATAACTCAAAAACAGAAGTTTTAATGTTTTTTTATGCAATAATCACATAACTTTTAATAATTTTGAAAATGGATCCGAAATTAGTATTAATTTCTCTAAAACGTTCTTGATGGAAAAAGGTAAAATTTTGGGTAATTTTGGGAAAGGGGTAACATTTGGGAGAAAAGTAGTATTTAAATGGAATAAAAGGGGGTAATAGTTGCCTAAAAATAGAGAACGGCGTAAATGAGGTAACAGTGTAGTTTAAATGTAGGTTAGTTTCCATCTTCCATCTCTTATATTGAGCGAAATATTAATGTAGAGACTGTAGAGAGTCATACTGTATAAATACGTATTTTATATTTATAAAGGTTTAGTTTAATACATTTTTAATATTGCGTGTAATGCCGTTAAATAAATAAAAAACAATCATTAATATTTAAATCTTGAACCATCAATTTAATTAGAATTAAGTAAATAGGTTGTCAATTTAATTAAATGCTTTTAAAATGTATTATTAAATTATTTTTAATTTGATTAATTACAAGAATATAAGAAATTGCTTAATACTGATCTGAGTTAAAAATAAAAAAATAATGTATAGACCAGCAGCGCTAAAATTAAATTGTTTATTTATGTTGGGCATAATGAACGGTCCGTGCGGATAATATTATGAATACTCAGCAAAGATAATTGTTGTTATGTTGGTTACTGTCTAAAAATTTCCGAATGTACTCTTGATTTAAAAAAGTATTAAAAGTTCTAGGTGACATTTAAATTTTTTAATATTAATCGCTTATTATCGATTCACTTTTTTTTAACACTTAGGGGGATGTGAGACGCCACAATAATGATTTGTGCAACAAGAGTGAATATGATGGCCATATCGATCCGGATATATCTTTTCTACGACTCACTAACGAAAATCTATAAAAAAAATATACAAGATACACCTGATTTTTAATTTTTAATGCTCATATTCTACTTTTTATTAAAATTTAAGAGTTATTTTATAAGAAGATTGATTCTGAAAAAATCTGAATAAAGTGGGGGGGGTCAAGAAGGAGTTAAAATATAAGAAAAAATCCCAACTCTACGACTCACTAACGAAAATCTATAAAAAAAAAAAAAACATACATCTGATTTTTATTTTTAATACTCATATTCTACTTTTTATTAAAATTTAAGAGTTATTTTATAGGAAGATGTTTGTAATTTAAAAATATCTAATATAAACTTGGGCGAAAATATTTAGTTATTTAATGAATGTCAGGAAATATTAGAAATTAATTTAATAAAAGATTTAATATCTATAAATTGGAAGGTAAAATTTAAAACAAAATAAAATTAGAGAGAAATAAGTATTAAAACGTAAATAAAAAAATAGTAAAATAAAATAGATAAAATACTTAATTAATGTACGTATAAGATGGTGTACCTGAAATAAAAAGAAAAACAAGTATGAGCACTCAAGTTTACCAAAAGCAATTTTGTATTAAAGAAAGTTATGAAAAGGTGATATCCATAAACAAAATACTTATTATCCTTTTAATTAACCAGAAAATTATACTGATAACTCTTTATGTCAAAATATTTATTTAAAAAAAATATACACAACTTTAAATTTTCCATAATTGACAAAAACTGACCGCAATGCCCAAACTATCGAACGATATATAAATTAAGCCATTAATAGCACACTGACCGCAATGTCACTAGTCCGCACGAACCATGGTACGACGACTCTGGAAAACTGACCACAGTAATCCCAAAATAAACGCATACACTGACCGCAATGTACTACGCCAGAACAGAAAATCTAACTAATTGTACTTTTGATTACACCTCGTAGAGGAAAACAAAATACAAGTAAATAGTCAAATAAGTTTTAATTATTTAATATAATCCCGTTAATTTAGGATATAAGGTTTTCTCAATACTTGACAAAATATCTTTACGTCAAAATTGACAAATTAATTATAAAAGGTTGATGGATAATAATTGGGTAATATAATTTGCAAAATAACTTGATTACAAATTAAAACAAAACTAACTTCGACTACACCAGTGCTTTATAAAACCGTAAAACCAGTGAAACGACCTTGGATCAGAACACTCAATTAATTGCTTTTATACACTTCGATGTGCCGTGTGTGTCGCCATACATGCTGACGCGAATAATACCGCTACGACTGTATTACATAATTACAACCATCATAATCGGGTCCAATCCTAAATGTGCTTATACCACTGCTACTAGAAATTTGGAACATCCTCCAGTTGAATATACAATATTAAGGTGAGCGAATTTGAGAAACGTTTCCTTTTTTTTACTGTTTCACAACCAGCCCCTTTGGACAGTATCAACTCATTCAATCTAATACAGCTTTTCTTCCTTAAAATCACTGTAAACATCAATTTGAATACGCCGAGGGCTTGTAATCATTGGCACTGTAACCTACCGCACCCAGGTACCTTAATAATTTATTAATTCCATTTATTAAATACAATATTGCATTCTTATTAAATTCAAAATCCTTCATTTAACGAAAAATCTCCCAGATAATTAAATCTTATTTACGATACTTAATAAATAATAGCTATAACCACGTCCATAAAAGATCCAAATTTGGTGCACGTGGCTGAGTTCCTAGAGCAAGAAAACACTATAAAACATATTTCTTTCACGAAGTAATTATCATTAAAACACTTAACTCGCTTATCTTGCTAGTTTCGATGTTAAGACCGATTTCGACAATATTTTGATACACAAAGCTTTCAAGGCAAGTAATAAATAAGCCACCCCCTGCACCCACAGTATTTCTATGAGAACTAAAGACATAGAGACGTCACAAAGCCATTAAAATTTTAGTATAAGAAGTCAGACCCAAATGAGCTCAGGGCATTCATTTTTAATTATTTGATGTGCATGCATTCAATTTGATTATTTGATGTGCATGCATTTAATTTTATTATTTGATGTGCAAGCATTCATTTATTATTTATATCCAGTTATATTTCAAGTTCAGTAGTCAGTACCTTTCCTAAAACGCTCTTCCTAAACGACGTCTATCCTACAATACCTCCTATCCCCGAAGGTGTCAACGTCTCGACGCCCAACGTCCTGCCGTCCTACTCCCTACGTCTCGAACGCTGTCACATTCCTCACTATCTAAGTATTTCCTACCGTACACTCATTTCGACGCTCAACGTCCCACGCCTTATTTCCAACGCTTGCCGTCCCTAAATATGTCCTTCATAATATCGCGTCCTGCACCACCTACATAATTCTACCGTATATCTGTCCCAATACAGTACCGTATTAAATACCCTCCTTTCCACCACGACGCTAGGCGCCTCGACGCTCTATGCTGCGACGTACCTAAATCGACGCCGTCACAACGCTATATGAAATTAGTACATAATCTAATGTCTGTATTTTCAGTGGTGAGTCAAAAGATTAATGTACCTTTCTTTTAAGGGCGGGCTTGACATTTTATACAAAATATTATCAATTTAACCAATAAACCACATGGCCTTCAGGTCATACACCCCGAAAACAGGATAGACATCTGTTTTCGATGGGTGAAATTTTGAGTATTCTAATAGAAATGATAAAAATCAATATTACGAAATACACAGGGTTGTATTAAGTCTTTTTAATAGAAATTATAAAAATCAATATTTTAGAGATATACAGGAATGTGCTATCTTGGATAAATTGTACAAACCAAGATGGTAAAATTTAATAGTAAGTTAACCAACTGGCGAATACGCTGTTCGTTAGCTCAAGGGGGACACCTATACGCTAAGCAACCCGTTCTACTAGGTTTGAAACAAAGTATATGTGAAATCAACATAGTAAGGTAATTAACTGGCGAATAGGCGCTGTTCGTTACTTCCGTTGGTCATTACCTCTATATTCATCGAAATATTTACCCAAGAGGGTGCAACCTGTATATATCTAGAATAAAATCAAATCAACATCAACTCAATAGTTAACCAACTAGCGAATTGGCGCTGTTCGTTAACTTTATTGGTCATCAACTTAGATAAGAATATAAACAACAACATAATAGTTAACCAACTGGCGAATTGGCGCTGTTCGTTAACTCCGGTGGTCATCAACCTAAATCAGAATATAAACAACAACACTATAGTTAATCAACTGGCGAATTGACGCTGTTCGTTAACTCTGTTGGTCATCAACCTAAGTAAAATAGTTATTGATAGCAAATGAATATGGTCTGCGTTTGAACGGGAGATCGCAGTAAATACTAACAATTGTAATATACTTTTCTAATTATTGCATCACATTTAAAGTATAAAAAAATAAAAGAGTTTTTCTACACCCGTATTATAATAATGCACTTATATGCCCATAATCCGTTTCATAATGATGCCCATTATGATACAGATTTTTCATTACGATACAGATTTTTAATCAATAGAAACCTACAATTTTTCAATCAAGCATGCTGTTTGACGTTTGTCCTAGGTTCCTATGTAATTATTTTAGTTGTCAAAACGTATTAAATTTTCGTAGGTAGCTAAACTTCGATAATTATAATATTAAAATGTCTGATATTAGCGATATAGAAGACTCCTCCACACATATCGGAGAAAGCAGAAAATACAGTACAAAATATTTTACCGCAAAAATCTAGGGAAATACCAATACCTGAAGTAATACCATTAATTACAATTTTGTAGAATTTTTTATAGAAATACGAGTAATTACTGTTATTGTGTTCAATACCAATATAAATATAATATTTATAGGTCTTGATTATTTATCGGGTGTAGAAAAAATAGCGTATGCAACTCTCATGTAATGGTTATTAAAACACTCGCATAAACCATACGAAACTCGCCTTTGGCTCGTTTCGTATCCCGGTTAATGCTCGTGTATTAATAACCATCATTACATGATCGTTGCATAATATACTATTAAATATGAATTTGTATGTTTTATTTGTCACATTATCACAACGATGGTATATAAATTATCAATTAATTAACTAGACGATCACTTTTACTACTAGAGGAAAAAGGCCAAATACAGTAAGTGTAGAATTTAATATAAAATAAACTTGTGAGGTAAATAGTAACATTTCTGGGAGTAAAATAACGAATAAAAAACAAAATAAAGAGGGGACAGGGGATGGGCCGTCACAGCACTATTATTAGTAAAATATAAAGAATTACACAAAAATTCTAAAATGTATTAAATGTTTTAACTAAATATTCAAATAAAAAACACACGTATTGAAATAAACCAAACAATTAGGTCATTACTTCAGTCAGTGGTTTACATTGAAATGAAGGTAATACGTTGATAAAAATTAACCTGTCACGTAAATTTTGGTTTAAATAAACTGTCGATAGTTGACAGAAGAGACTTGTGTAAGGGCTGCTACCCGAAACTTTTGCTTCGGGACCCTAGATTAGATTAGATTTAATTGGGAATGTGGGTCATGTGGTCTCCCCCACCTCGACCCTTTCAGATCTATTGCGGATATCCTTTAATCGTTGTTTAGAGTATCTTGTCTAATTCGGTCTTTTATAGTAGACTTTATAGACTGGTATAGAACGGTATAGCTAGTTGTCCTTGGTTTTTCTTCTCCAAATGTGAGGAATCTCAGTCTGGCTAGACTTTCGCAGTAACACAATACCTGTTCTGCCGTTTCCTCCTCTTCCTGACAGAATCGGCACAAGGTCTCTTCTGTCAGACAGATATTATACATATGTTTGTTAAGCCTACAATGCCCTGTTAATAGACCTACCAGTACTCCAGTATTTTTCCTATTAAGGCTTAGTAGATGCTCAGTGAGTTTAGGCGATGGTCCTTTTGAGAACTCTTTGGCCTGTCTCTGTCCTGGTGAGTTTTTCCACCACTGCTGAGATTGTTTTAACATCCATTGCTTTGTGAATGTTCTGATAATTGTCTTTGTGACACTAAAGAAGGGTTTTGGGCCAATAAGAGCCTTTGAGGCTCCTTCTCGGGCTAGTAAATCAGCCCCTTCGTTGCTCTTATGTCCTCTGTGGACTGGTACCCAGGATAAGGTTATGGACCCTAAGTCCCAAAGCACCTTAATGTGTAAAGTAAAGTTTTGTGCAGCGATTTGTGTTGTTTGGTTTTGTTTTGAGACAAATCATTTATTTCCCTTTGAATGTCAATTTTTACGTTTTCTATCCCAAGTATGGATACAGACTATTCACATATATTTATAAAGCTGTGGGTGGGATAATGAATGTTAACAGGATATCAATGACAGCCTCTGAAAATCCTTTTTCTAAGAAGGATTTCCTGAAAGTCGACCTGTAATTAGTGTAGGATTATCTATTTTTATTATAGTCCCTCCTCTGACTACAAAAAGTGGCACGTCGTAAGTTTCGCTTGCTCTTTGTAGTGGGGTATAAAGGATGCGGTGAACAAGACATACTTTATCCCGGTAGTGGGAGCGGTCATGTGACCTGTGACATTTGAAGCATATCCTTCTTTACTGACAATGAAATATATGCTTCTAGACGCCAATAACTATAAGTATATATAAATTTTTAATTTTTATTAATCTGAATAATTAACAGAAAACCTACAACGTTTATTGGTCCAGCCCTAAAATTTTAGATTTTTGATGTAACATTTTTCTTGAATTCGCAAACCAATGACTTTGGAGTATAAGTATTTTTGTCTATTTTTTGGGAAAATCAATGACGTCATGTACACGGAAGTGATAACGTCATTAGTACATCCAATTGTAGAGTAACACGCGCAGTTAAAAATAAAAATTGACCTGTGAAAGCATTTTGTTAAAATACTTTTAGAGAGAAAAATATCGAATTTATTCCAACCCATACGTCCTCACTGTATTGTACGTCATTGATTTTTTAGGATTGTGAAAGAATATTATTTTTAGAAATCGGGTTTGTTTTGAAATAAGTTGTCATTATGTTTTATTATTGAACGTCCGATGGATTTTTTTTCTACGTGTATGGGTTAGGAAATTTTGTTGAGAAAGATATAAAATATGATGGATAGGAATAAAGATTTTAAAATATTCACCAGTGGAAATTTAATTAAAAAATTAAAAAAAAAGAAGCTTTAAAGGAAGGAATTATTGAAATATGAGAGCAGGCTACAAAGGAATTAAAAGGTTAGAATAGATGAAAAATATCTGATAAATGTAGAAGACAATATTGTTCAGAATCCTAAATACTTTTGGCAATTTGTAAGAAACAAAAATTGACAGAATATTCCTAATAACTTATTAACTCCTCTAAAGTAGAAAAAAAGAATTTGAAGATTTGTTTTGTTTATTTTTGTTTTAATTTTTTTCTTAAAATATATTTTTTTTAGGTTTCGGCTACTGAACGTCTTCCAATACGCAATGCACAAATACGCGTGAAAGTTACAGATAGTTGGCATTGGAGGAAGCGTGAAACAAATGATGTCAGCGTTGCCATTTATACGACCCGACCGCGTTGTAACATTGGCGAGGCCATATAGGCTGACATCGCTGGTATTGTTCCTTTCCTATTTGCTCTAGTGCTGGCTCTCTGTAGTTTTCACACGCACTTGTACCAATTGGTATTAGAAAACTTTCTATTCATTTAGAACTTTGAAATTTTAATTTCTTTTGTTTATAAAATTGGTAATTTTAAATTATTTAACGTATTATTTTTAGTTTTTAGTTTATACCAGGTTCTATTAAATGAAACGATTAAGTAATAATTTGCACTTCAGTTTAATAATTTATTTTTTTTTACATTTTTTGAATGCTCTTAAATCTATAATCAATACGGGTAACAGACGCAAATCGCCTAAGCGGAGCAGCTTTCAGCAACAGGCATTTCGATGGTCTTGTGTTGCTTCTTCATGCTGAAGTCTGGACTGATTTGAGTGTTGTCAATTTGGTTCTTCCACAAATCGGCGACGTTGCTCTTTTGGACACAGTGAACTCCTACGGTCTTAGTCTTAAGGCGGTTGGTGCGACAGTGGCTTCTGCAGGATGGCAATGGAACAGTGGTGAAGCAAATTTCACCGTTTTGTTGGATGTATTTGGTTTGGTGGAACAAACAGGCGCTTTGGCTTGGGCGTTGTTGTTTTCCTGATGATGGTTCACGTCTGGCGTCTTGTGCAGTGATTACGTTGATGAACAAAGGTTCTTGTTTCTCAACACATTGGTTGTCGTCACTAGCAAATTGTTGTCTCATTTGTTGGCCGCGTTCTCCCTCTACTTCGTAGCTGTCAATGAATTTTTGAGGATTGCGGGCGAAGCAGTTTTCTGAGGTAAGGAAATCTTCGGCTGGCTGGTCGTTGAATTGACCACATAGACCTCTAGTAGCATCCTTCAATTTGTCGCTGACAGCGGTGATCCTGACGCGTTTACCGTCGTAAGTGACGTAGAAAGCATCTTGGATTTCAACCTTGACTTCACCGTTTGGCAAAGCGTAGATTTGTACGAAACCCTTGTGGACATCTTGGCTTTCTTCCTTGTTTACTTGGACTGCTTTTCCGTTGACGGATACTTGAGCTTTCCCTTGGTTGGCTTTCATTTCGATTTCGACGATTTCGTAGTCGGTTTTAGGAGCGCTGACGACGATCTTGACATCTTTTTGTTCTTCAGATTCTTTGCTTTCGCGAACAAGTACAACGTAGTTTTCGAGTTGTTCTTTGAGTTGTTTTTGGAGAGAACGTTGTTGGTTTCCTTCTTGTTTACGGGCTTGTTTGGGAGCGTACAAAGCCATTAGAGACCATTTTTTGGAAAGTTCAGCGTCGTATGTTCTGTTACTGAAGGTGTTGATCTTAGTTTGGTCAACGGTACAGAAATCTGAAAACATTTTTATGAATTAATATACAAACGTAAAAACACAAGATGTTTTATGTCAATATTAATATAATAATATAAATAATAAATCATACCTCTGTAGGAGTCTGTTCCAAAAACGTAGCTAAGTACTCTGGCGCGAAGATGGAATACTGGGTGTGGAACAACAATTTGTCTGGTCAGTTCATCAACGGGAATGTTGCTGACGATGGTTTCTTCTTGTGGAGTTTGAATGGTAGCGTTAAAACGTTCTAAGTCACCGTGGAATTTTATTTTCATCAAGATTTCGTTTTCCTGAACATCAGTTTGTTCGGATTTGATTTCAGTGTTTGGTGATGCAAAGACACGACCAGCTTCGAATACCATTTGGATGGTTTCTTTCAAATCAGCATGTAAGTTTTCGTGTTGGATTTTAATGTTGGTACGGTCAAGAAGGTTGGCGATCATGTTTATTTTTGTACAAGCGCTAAGGGCTTTGTTATCTTGTTCCATTTCTTGTTTGCATTCACGGTACATTGGCAAGTTTTTCAAGTAACGTTTACGTTCTTCGCTCCTTTTGTTTACCAATTTGGCTTTCAATTTGGAGAGTTTTCCTTGGGATTCTCCGAAAACGGCTTCGATTTCGCTTTTCATTTCAGGTTCGTTTTGGAAAGTATATTCCAAGTCCATGGCGTTTGTGTTTTCAGCTTCTTTACGTGCAACGATATGTACTTCGTAATCCTTGACTTGTTGGTCGTTTGAGCTCTTCTTGTAGCAAATTCTAGCAAATGATTTAGGGTCAACATTGCTCTTGGCTGCAGCAGCTGTGAGTAGATATTGGACATCTTTTTCTCCTTGGAATTCGATGGTGTTGTCTAAAGCAAATACTTGAACATTCTTGATATCAGCAGATACTTCCTTCATAAGTTCTAGTTGTCTTTGAGCTGGTTCAGCTTTTTCGTTTAATACATATTTTCCTTGTCTGGGTTCAGCATTTTGACGATACTCTTGATCGTATTTGGAACGAAGAGTGATCTTGTTAACAGTAGATTGTTCTGGAAGATAAGTGATGCCGAATTGGCTGTTTTGGATGTAACTGTCTTCCCAAAGTTCTCTCAAACCATCAAAAATACCGTTGTTAGAGAAGACACGACGGAGGAGGTCGATATGTACGTTCTTCCTTTCATGACGAATTTCTACTTCAAGAGCAATTCCGGTAGATTTTTGGCCGACAACAGTTTTGTAGGCTTGCATGTTTTGTGGTTCAACAACCCAGACGTTCTTTTGGGAAGTCTGGGTACTCAAAGGTTCGAAGTTCAATACATCAACTTTAGCGGTGTATGGCCAAGTGCGGTAATGTAAAAGGTTAATTTTGTTTTCTTGTTTAGGTTCGATTTCAACTGTAAGTTCTTGTTGTTTCCAATCGACTTTCATTTGGGTCCTCATCTTGGGCAAGTTCAATTCCCAGTGTTTATCGTAACCACTGATGTATTGTTGATGTTCGAAGGGAGCGAAAAACATGACACGTCCTTGAGTTTTTCCACTTACGGTGATTCTCATTTCAGATACAATTTTGATTTGGTCGGGTTGTTGAAGGTAGCGTCCTTGGGATAATTCTGGGTTGGCAACAGCCATGATTTCTCCATGTGCCTTAATGAGCATAGGAGTGGCGTAATGGAAGACGAATGGGATACCCATAACAGTAGGAAGGGCTAACACCATTTCCTTGTGGTTGATTAGTTTGTAGTGGTTAATTTTTTCTCCGTTTCTCAATTTTTGTTCCATTTCTTGGACAACTTCTTGTAATTGGTTCATGGTATTGTTATCGAATCCGAACATCCTGTGGGGAGTGGTGAATTCCATTGATAAGTATCCTTCAAGTTGCTCACGTTCATCGGCTTTTATGTCTAAAAGCTTGGCAATGTTTTGGCTAGACCAAGGGTATTCGCCTTGTTGTTGAGCATGTTCTCTTTGTTGTTTTTGTTCTTTGTCGAAATGTTTAGTTTGTCTGTATGCAACATCAATTAGTTGATCAACACTGGAAACGAAAGCTTGAATGTTGATTTCTTTATGGAAAAGTCCGGCCCATGATGATCTGGATGTGTATCTCATTCCTTTGGGAATGTAGGCATCTTCGCTGGGAATGAATTGAGCAGAAGTTTTTTCATGTTTGTTTAATTGATCGATGATGAATCCACGAAGGTAGTTTCTGCCAAAGTTAAGTCCGTACGTTTTTTTGGTAAGCAGAGGCCTGGCTGCTCTAGCACTGTCACGGCTGAAAAATATAACAAATACATATTTTAGTTTTTTTTTTGTTTGTGTTTTTAAATTCTCAATCATGTGTGTTCTGTATAGGCTTTGTTACTATTTCCCAGCGCCACTTCAGGAACAGCACTGTTAATTAGAACCCAACAGTGAATGGTCGAGTGGAGAATCCTACCAAGGCATTAGAATTAATTTTAAATAATTAAACTAAATTCAAAAATCCCGGCCAACGGTGGGATTCGAACCTGGGACCCTTGGATCCACAGGCAGAGACTCTACCACTGAGCCACCCTACCCCTTATTTTAGATTTGCTGAAAAAAAGTTCTAAAGTATATAAAATTAGGCAATACAATAGAAGGAAAAATTATAATAGAAATCAAGGAATTAAAAGAATAACATCTATATACTGGAAAGCAAAAGATACTGATATTGTGAACAGAGGTAGTTAAGTCAAAAATATCTTAAAAACAGTAATAACTGGAAAGAAAAGATAGGGACATATAGATTGGCAAGAAGAAAAAAAATAGTAAAAAAATAAGGTGTCAGTGATAGGGGCGCATATATATTGAGGGTAATTACCCCCTAAGAATTTTTTAATCTAACTTTTTATAGGAACCAAAACGTGCTATTATCAAAAATAAAGCCTTAAATATTACCACTGCCCCCCAAACTTAAACTTTATTACCACTACCCCCGGACTTAAACTCTGAATGCGCCACTGGTCTGCGAGGGACCAAAAAAAAATTGTTAAGATGGAAGAATGTCTATTCTAAAAAACCATAATAATTGTGTTTAAGTTTTTACTTACATAATAGCGAACTGGTCACCGTCTTCGAGTTCGGAGAGTTGTAAAATGGTGTGTTTGACAACAGCATTAACATATTCATTCTTTTCAATATTAGTGTATTGAGCCATAGCTTGGAGAATTTCTGTTGTAGGGCCTGAACGCATGATGTGGAAGACACAAGCGATTCTTACTGCGGGATGTTCTCCGGGGTTTTGGTATGTTCTGTACAAAACAGCGAGAGTTAGGTCGGGATGTGTTTCAACGAGTTTTTCCAATGAAAGGATCATCAACATACGTTGGAATTGAGAACATTGTTGTTTTCCTTCTAAGAAAGGTTCAAAAGCGGCTAATATTTCAGGGTGGGCGATTCTTCCAAGAACAGCGATGTAAGCATGGATTTTGTGGGTTTCGGCATTTTGTACGGATTTTTTCAACATTTCGGAGTAGTATGGGATGACTTCCTCGCTGATAAAACGTTTTCCTTCTTCGGTATTGTAAGGTCCGAAAGCTTTTTCGGGATATTCGGATTTGGAGAATTTATCATCGACGTAGACAGAACGTACGAGATAACCGAAACTTATGAGGACAGTATCGTTAAGAGGCCATTGGCGCATAACTTTCTCTTTCTTGGTAAATTCGAAGAATGATTTCATCTCTTGGAGTGTAGGTTGACGATTAGCCTTAGCATAGGTTGATACAACTTGGGCAGCTTCTTCGGATTGGATTTTGCCTGTTTCAATCCAAGATTTAATCATCAGGAAGGCGGGTCCTGTTCCAGATTCAGGGACGGCATCACGCAGAGCACTCCAGGTGGCTTTTTCAATACCTTCTTCAGCTTGGCTATAAAGTTTTTCAGACAATTGTTTGAGTTCTTCTTCGTTCATCAAACGGATTAGAGAAGCAAGATTGACGAATCTTTCTAAAGTGGTTTCGTGATGATCTCTGTCTGAGTCGTATAATTCATTACCGATTTTTTTGGCAATCTTTTCGGCCAATTTTACGATGTTACCGGCTTTCTTGATTGATTTTCCTTCATATCCAGTAGTTAGGGACAAGAGAGGGGATTTGGGAGCTTCAGAAAGTTCGGGTTTGTCTTGTGTATAATAGAATTCGTCATCAGAAGATTGGCTTCTTGAATATTTATTTATAGAACGGGGTCTTCTTAGTCTATTATAAGCTCCAGAGAATTGGTTTTCCTCATCTTCAAAATCCTGGTATTCTTGTTTCTTGTGGTGCGATTGTTTGCTTTGAACTTTGTCATTTTGTTCGTTGGGTTCTTTGTAGTCGAAAACGAGGTTACCTAACTCAACGGGTTCGGAAATGTTTTCGATTTTTTCGTCTTGTGATTTGATGTCTTCTAAGCTAGCTTCGATAATGCTGACAACAGAAGCTTTTTGTTGGTCGGTGATAGTTGGGTTAACAAGGATGGTGTTAACAATGGTAGAGTTAGCTAATATGTAGTTTTCCAAGTGCCCTAAGAGAATAGCACGTCCAGTGCAATCTCTGCTGATGTAATTTCCCATACGAGTTTTTGCTGGTTCATCACCAAGAAGGTAATCACCGAAACCGTAAGAGTAAGCAGGAAGTTGTCTATGGTTGTCGTAGTTTTTGTGTTTCATAACTTCAATGATGTCACCATTTTGTTTCCATTCTTGGAAATGTTTACCTTCTTTAGCAAAATCGAACTGGTATTCTGAGACTGGTCTGATTTCGTATAAGGTTTCAGTTTCCCCGGATACTGTATCTTCCATGGTCAAGAAAACAGCATTGTTGGATTGAGAGGTGGGCAAGACATTAATGGAGCTGGGGAGAACATTTTCTCCGTTGACATTTATTTGGAATGCGCTGACAATACCTTTGATCATATTGGCTTCCCAGTTTTTAACAACCTTGCTGACAATGAGGTCAACAATTTTGCCATTCTGCATTTTGATTTGGAAAGGCTTTTGACTCATAGCAAGGGGTTTCCAGCTGAGTTCTTCATCTGGGAATTGAGTTTTCCAAGAATCACTCAATACGGAATGAATTTGAGTATATTCTGGGTTTGTGAGTAAAGCTTGTAGTTCTTGTCCTTCGTTTCTGGGTTGGATTCTAAGAGTAGCCTTAAATAAGATTCCTGCGTATTGGTCAGAGACTTCCATGAGTCCGGTCAGAGTTCTTCCACGAATTTTGTAGACATATTCCTGGTTGTCGGTCCATGCTGGATTGTTTGAAGCAAAAGCGAGCCCCACTGAAATTTCAAAATGAATATTATCCAAACGAAATTTTAATCCTTGACGAATTAATCGCCAAAAACTACATGCTTTTTTCAATAAATAATATCCTAGGTTTTGAAAAATAATATACAAGGAAAATACAAAAAACATCTACTGGAGGACAGGGCCTTACTTGGCCGATGAATAGGAATAAGGAAGATATATTTTTTGAAATCTTAAAATTATATTGTTACCTGTCTACTCAAATTTGTTACTTAACAATAAAACTGTTTAAAGTACTATATTATTGTAGTATGTAAGAAACACCGCCTTTATTTATTAACAGAGTGTTAGGCAGTGAAGAAAATTGACTAAGAGAAAATACGTATTGCTGAGATGAGGATAAAGAAAAGTAGAACATTCTACAAGAAAAACGGGAGGACTTCAAGTTAATGAGAGGGTATTGTTAACCTTTATATGAAGGAAATACTAATTGATATTGAAATAGCACACTATTTAATTTCTAAAGAGACGTGACCGTATTTATTCCAAACTAATCTACCTGAGGAAACAATAATTGTAGCCAGAGCATAATTATATAAAGTAGAAGGAATTATATATACAACCATACATGAAAATTGCTTTATCTAACAGGTTCAACTTAGCACCAGAGCACTTAGGCTTCATTATCCCATTGTGTATCCTCCAGAATAAAAAATGCTTTTTTTGTTTTAATCGTTTTGAAGTATGTAGTTGATAACGTCGCCAAAAGGCTTTTAAATTGGATATGATGGGCAAAATGCACAAAAAAAGAGATTAGCACAAATTGTACACGTTGATACTAAGAAGTAAAGAAAGAAATAATCACAGAATGAGAGTTTATAGTTGTGGATATAAAAAAACATTTGAAAGTTAAAGTTTTTCCTTAATTGAAGAAGTAGTAGATGATATGGAAGAATGGTTTGTCAATTAAGACATATCTTTGTACAATGTTAAAAGTTAGATATGTTAAAGGACAGTATTTTTAATCCAATAATTTTGGATTTTAGAAATAATAATTTTAGTTGAAAAAATAAAAATAGTTAAAAAATAAATACAATAAAAATAAATATAGTTGGACTTACCTAGGAGGAAAAGGACAGCTGTCGACCACATAATTGTACTACTGAATACAACAGGTCGTAGTGTGAAGATTCAAAATTTCTATTCCAATTTATAGTCGAAAACTGTGCACAATGCACTTTTTTTTAATTGCAGTTATTACAATTTGTATCAATGAAAACGCAAAATCTGTATAGTAACGAGATAAAAGCACGCGCTGAATTTTTCTTATCAATAACTTTCAAAACGCAGAATTTGCAATTATTTAAGATTAATTTTTGAATGTGAAGTAGATCAATAATATTTTTAAGTAATACTTATAATAAAATGTAACAAAAAAGAAAAGCGGATATAATAGTTAAAAAAAATTGTTTTAAAGAAAAAGCAGTTGTAAATTTGATGGGTAAAATTTGTTCCGAAATGAGAGGTAAAATTCTAAATCCTAAAAGATTATATTATTTATCAGCCTTTGTCAACGCAGAAATTGTATAGAAATAAATGATTTTGAAATAATAAAAACCGATTTATCTAATTTGCAGTAAAAATCTATTTTGTCCACGACAATTTTAAAATTAACTAATTTTTTATTAGTCTTCTCTCTTAAAATGCTTTATATTAACAGTGACTAATAATAATTATTGCTTCTTTTCACTAAATTTCCAATATGTTAATTAAATTGAAGTATCAAATTTTGACTACAAAATTAAATTTTATAAAAACTTATGTTTTTAACGTTTCTTAAATTGGACAAGGGGTAAAACCATGAGCGTCGTTACACAATTCTATAGGGAGGGGCAAAATTTCTCTCATCATTACAAATTGATAAAAATATTAAATAATTACCGTAAATTTTTTTGTTTCGTGGAGCTCTTTTTATATACATATAAAACAAAATAGCTTCATAAAAGTTTAAAAAATGTTAATACTTTGTTTATAATAATTTTTTTAAGTTTACAAAAACAGAAAAGTCACAGTGGTGCTATAAAATTTTTTTTTTAAATTTATTATAATATTACTGTTTTAATGTCGAGAAAAGACATTTATTAATTAAAAAAAAATTTTTTTCCTCCATTTGTTCATAAATTTTTTATAAACAAATGGAGTATTTCAATTTAAGTTATTATTAAGAAAATTTTTTTTTAAAAATCATAATTGGCAATTGTCTAGAAAGTTATAAAAAAAAATTTGAAAAAAATTGAAATACTCCATTTGTTTATAAATTTTTTATAAACAAATGGAAATTTTTTTTTTTTTAATTAATAAATGTCTTTTCTCTACATTAAAATGTAATATTATAATAAATTGAAAAAAAATTTTTTATAGCACCACTGTGACTTTTCTGTTTTTGTAAACTTTAAAAAATTATTATAAATAGTAATAACATTTTTTAAACTTTTATGAAGGTATTTTGTTTTATATGTATATAAAAAGAGTTCCACGAAGCAAAAAAAAATTTACAGTAATTATTTAATATTTTTATCAATTTGTAATGATGAGAGAAATTCTAAAAATTTTGTTAATTAACAATAACCTACTTTGTTGGAAAATTAATTTTTATGAAAAATTCCAACGGGAATGAATTCTTCTGTTTAGAATACACCATAATTTTTTTTAAATTTTTGAATTTAATTTTATTAACTTTAAAAAAATTATTTTATGTAACGTACTCGGTTTCGACGCCGTGCGCGCAACCTAAAAATGGCGCGCGGAAGGCTACTTTGAGCGTTAAATTAAAATTATAAATAATGGAGGTACAGTCCCGGGAGTCGGAACTTATTTATAGCAAATTTCCTCCTCTTTAAGGATCTTTTTTGAAAAATCCAAAAATATTTATAGTTTACAAACTATAGGCGAAAAACCAAACACCATGTTTTTGAGGTGTTTATTTATTTATAACTTTTGCAATTTTTTATAAACTGCAAAATTTTTCTTCACACATTGATCTAGACATTATTCCGAATCGAATGAGCTATTGAACATAATTTTCGTAATAGTATGTCCCAAACACACGCTTTTGAACTTGTTGATTAACTGATATGTTGATTTTAATAAAAGTATATGTATTTGTAAAACAAGTGAAAAAATTATTTATTATTATATATTTTTATTAAAAAAAAATATATGATATGCTGTTTAAGTCTAATAAGTTGTCATTGAAAAATAGGTTAAATAATGTGAAAATATAAACATAACGTAGTATCAAAACGTATTAACAAAAATAAATGGTGTCTGTTAATAATTTAAAAAATAGGAAACTGCAATTATTCTGAAAATTGATAATAAAAATATTTTTTTAACTCTTTGGCATATTTGATGTCGCTTTTACTAACTCAACCCTCAACCAGTTAAATGTTCATAGAAAAAGACGTCTTATATTTTTTTTGTTGTAGAGGTCATTCTTTGTTTAATCAAAATATTTTTTATTGAATAAATGTGTTATAATTGCTTGTTTTTTTTATACCCTCCTCGTAAGAAGGAATTCAAAACAAAACTCCTCATATCTTTTTGGAAATTTTATACTCTAATAAAAAAAAAGAAGCCCCCCCAAGATTTTGTTTAGCCCCCCCTGAAACATGGGGCTAGCTACGGCCCTGACTGTTCAACTGGTTTTTTATACCAGTTACTTCAATTACTTGCAAAACCAATGATCCGCGTTATTTTATAAATTGTTAATTATTTGTCAATTAGTAAGATTAAAGATATTAAATTAACAGCGGACCACCCTCGTCAGAAGTGGGAATCGAATACCTCAAATACATTCGATAACAAACATTTTGGGAAAGGAATTTTATCGATGAAACTTTAGACAAAAATTTCCACCATGTCACAATAGAATTTAATTGTAAAAAATGTTTTTGCCCATGGATTTCATCACTTTCATCTCAGTGACGGATACAGGATTTTGATCGGTTGGTTCGGGTTACAAATGAAATATAAAAATCACATTAAAAAGAATGTTTTATTATTATTTTATTATAAATCTAGACTTATTTATTTAAATCTTAAATAAAAGAGGCCCAGATACATCGTTGTTTAAACTGTGAGAATTTTTCCAGTTTCTAAAGGTGTGTTAGATGTTGGTTTATTAGCATCATAATCAGCTATTAGATTTATTTCTTTTGGATGTTGGATGGTTCTTGGTATTTTAGGTGTCTGCGAGAATGTATGTGGACGTATTTTTTTTTAAGAAAATCATTTGGATTAGAATTATAGCTTTCGGCACTGATCAGTGCTTTCTTTGGTAATATTTATTTATCAGCAATATGTATTTTACATTGTTTAAAACTTTATTATTTTTTGTAGTAGAACATTTTAGTGGAAAAAAAGTTTTTTAGTGATCATGTGTGTACCTAAATAAACTATCTTGTGTAACTATGATTAATTGTGTATATATTTTTTACCTAAGGTAAAACTAAACAACATATTATAACTAATATAACCATATACTACAAAAAAATTCCTTAATAGTATATTGTTTAAAGAGCAAGAACTGGTATTCACTGCTTACGAGTATCATACAGGGTGATCGTCAAGTATGTGGCCAAACTTTAAGATGATCTTCCCTACTCAATGTTAAGACAAAAAGTTTATCATGTAATCGTAGATCCTAAACTGCTTTATTTTCAAAATACAGTGTGTTGAAATATACAAAAAAATGTTTTTTCTAAATATCCAGAAGACGAAAATTCATATCAAGTTAAAACTTGGTGAAAATGTTTACTGCAGCATTTTTTTTTTTGTTACCAGTGTTGCGCACAGGATTAATTAATTAAAAATATATGGTATTCCAATGTTTCTTGTTAATCTGATACTATTTAAAGATTCGACAATTAAAACTGTACAAAAGAATCATTATTTCAGTTTTTCGCTCAAATTATCAATTTTCGATAAAAATTAAAAATATGAATATCATTTGAGTATTACTACTACTGTAATTTGTTAAAAATAAAAAATAAGAGAGCCTTAGAAACAAAAATACTCAAATAGATTTGACAACTGACATAGCTTTAAAGAGTGAATACAATTTATTGATTCGTAAATTTAATTCTAATAAAAAAAAATGGATAAATTTGCAAACGCAGAAATGGCCCAAGTAAATTGAAGAGCGGCAAAGCGCATTTATCAAAAGATGTATCCTCAACGTCTTCTGTATCTGTAACGTGTGGAGGGTGGGTTACCCCCCACGGTACTTAGGCCTCATTAGGCCCATTGTGCGTCCTCCTGAGATGATACGCACCACCTAGCTCGTGAGCAAGCCTACAGATTTAATGTAGTTGACAACGTCGCCAAGAGGGGCTTCTCTTATATCGGCGTTAGTCGATACTCGCCCAACACAAATCTTCTAATAAATAAGAGCGTCGAGCAATCGTAAAGGATATGCTCAATGGTCTCATCTTCTTGTTCGCACCCTCTGCAGAGTGCGGATTCTGACAGTCTCACGATATGGAGATGCTTCCGTACTTGACAATGATCAGTCAGAATGTGACTAGGCGTAGATTCTGTCTAATCATAGTCAAGTATTTGTTTGCTGCAGTGTTGTCAGGATAACTTAAGAGCTCCCTGGCAACTCTGCAGTTTCTTGTTTCATCCCATTTTTCCTTGAATTTCACAAGGGAATGTTCTTTGATTAGGTCTGTCACTACCGATTTTGTCAGGCCAATAGAAGGGCCAGGTCCAAAAAGTATTTGGTTGACTGCTGTCTTGGCTAGTGAATCAGCAAGACGGTTACCTTTGGATGTGGCGTGACCTTTGATTCATTTTAAAGTGACCACATTGTTGATGGATACTTCGGCCAAAGCTTCGTGACATTCTAGTACTAACCCTGAGTAAATTCGTGGTCTGTTCAGGGTGAGTAGTGCTTGTCTGCTATCTGTATAGATGAGCATGTTCCTTCCAGTGATATTGTTTCTGGTTATTTCTTTTGCCGTTAGGTCTGTTTGAACTATACTGACACTATTGCTGACAGCCTATTTTATGTTTAGGTTTAAGAATCTGGAGTATATTCCACATCCTGAGCCTTGTTTTGTTTTAGAACCGTCGGTGTAGATATGAATCGTACCTGCCACTTCTGGCTCTTCTATTT